CGGCAACTGTGTGATGCCATCATGTCAATATGGACCAAAATCTCTGAGGAATGCTTCCAGCACCTTGTTGAATCTACATATTTTACTGATTTTTTTTATCCAAACAATCAATGACTTATAAAGGTAAATCAGAAAAATTACCAAGGCTGCCCAAACTTTTGCACCCCACTGTAAGTGGGGACTGTTTGCATGTTTTTATATTTCTGTATTTTTATTTTGTGGTGCGGCACTTAGGTATGCTATATAGTTTTGATATCATTACATGTGACACATTTTAGATATACTGTTTATAAAAGTCCATCTATGGACAAGTGCTGCAAATTAGCTCACGCTAAGCACCATGATACAGGCATGGGACTGCTATTTTATTCAGTCTATGTTGTTGTGTGCCTGTCCCTATCAAATAAACATAATAAAAATAAYTGATTGATTGGTTGGYTGACTGTCTGAAGTTTATGATGTTCAGTCATTACATTACTTTGTCATGAGTGAGTCTACATCATCATTTCTGAATTATTATTCAGTCTAACTAGTTAATAATCCATTAAAGTCCACATTTTACTTGTTTAATGTGTAAATAATATATTTGACAACAAATAATTGATTCTACAAAAGGCCAAACATGAACATTGAAACTTTTTTAAATGTTAGCAAACAGGTTTTACTGYTAAAATCATATATTTACCTGCAAAATATCTACCTGTAAAACATAATCCTTTTTGCTCTTSTAAACTTGTAACAATTTCTGCRGATTATAGCAAAGTGTTTGTRCTGTTTGTACATTTATTAAACATTTGTTTGAACCACACTATATTCTGCTCATTGATTTCAATGGTTAGYGTTAGCTTTAGCTCAATTCCCTAKGTCACGTGACGCCCAATCCAGTAATTTATCATCATACAAAGCGCTCCATCAGGACTTAGTTCTCCTGGTCAGATGCTGACGCACTAACTGTGTCACTGAMGTCCAGACTAGTGAGCACAGCTGCCTTGGGTTCCAGCAGTTTCATTTTCTTAAGGTCTTCATCTGTCACCTCTGCATAAAAAAACAAAACAAAACAAAAAAACAATAAATAAATAAAACGCATTAGACAACACAAGAGAACAAAATGTGTGGGATACAACACAGCACTGAAATATRATAGCAAAAGAAAGATAAATATATTTTTTCCTATTAAATAAAGAGAAAATAAAAAAATGGTTTCCTCTATGCATTATTTGTCTAGTGCGCGGTATTTAAAGTCTTTTAACAGTACTGTGGGTTATGGTATAATGTACTGATTAACAGAGTTGATCAGCTTTATAATTAACGTATAAGTGAAAATGAATCGTACCTTTGATGTTGAGCTTTTGTCTCTTCCGTCTGGCTGTTAAGTCTGTCCGCTTTGGCCCTCTGACACAGATTTCACTCAGTCTGGCTGCTTTCACTTCTCTTCTGGATGAGAGAGGTCACTGCTTTGTCCCTGAGGTAGCCTCCTCGGTCATCCAACTCCTGACCCATAGCTCTGCTTTGAGCATCAGTGCAGTAGCATGACTAAAGCA